CGGTTTCGGGGTATTGAAGTTGGGCTCTTTGGCGGGTTTGGGACTTTTTTTTTTTTCTTTCTTGTTGACCTTACCACCCAAGGTTGGGCTGGACTGGGTTTGACGTTGGTGAATGTCTCGGTGCAGAAAGCGGAGGGATGAAGCCGTGCCAGGAGCTGACAGCCGTGCTCGGAGCTGAGTGTGGGGGCAGGCGTCTGAGGGTCTGCCCCATCAGCAGCGGACATCGTACAAGAAAATTGGAAAGCTGGAACGAGGTGTTTGTTGAGCAGGGCTCTATTACACAGAGGTGAAGCAGGTAAACGACAGCGATGGGGACATTACATTGTCACACTTCAACCCTGTCACGCTTCAGCCCGGTACATCCTGCTGTGTACGTTGCCTGAAGACCTAAGTGCTGTTATAAAGGACATGATCGGGCTATGTGGACTGCACCTACTGCAGCCTTTTTCTGATGGGGGGAAAGAGGGCTTAACCCCCCCAGGAAGAAGGAAGAGGGCTTAAGCCCCCAAATCAGGTCAGTTTGCGAAGAGGGAGTAGAAAAGTAGCAGAAAGGCTTCCATTGGCACTCACCCACCTATTCTCAGTCCGCCTTCCTCCTCCATGAGACAGGACAGGACCTCACTCATTCTTCCTGCCACCATATTAACCCCCGTCCTCTCTGAGGCATCTTCCTGTCCTAGGAATTGAATTTCATCACTGCTGATAATCTCTGCTTTATAAATAGTGCCATATATATATAATGTAGATCACTGTATGGGGTAGATCGCTATGTCACTTTGTGATCTTTGTAAGAAAGTTAATTGGCTTAAGGAGGCAAAAATATGGCAAATGTATGGTGTACTAGGTGAAGGTACCTTCTATCTTCGGCTTCATCTGGTGGGGCAATGTAGTAGAAGGCGTATTCACAGAAAGATATATTTATATGACAACACAGTATTGCATTCTGAGGGCCCGATTCTCATCTTTCAGCTCCTGCATTTGAAATCAAACTTCGCTCTGTAAAGTCTTTGGTACTATGCTAGTATAAAAGTTAGCGTGGGATCACAGTCAGGTACAAATACTTGCAACCGAGTCTTGGGCCGTACCTATATTCATAGCAACTAAACAAATTAAGCCAATTCACTGTAAATCAATTTTAAGTCAGTTTAGGCATAACCCCATGAAGATTTCCATCATTTTTAACTAAACAGAATTAGAAAAATATTTCAGGTAGATTACTGGAGCTCTGTTTGAACATAACATATTAGCCTTTCTTTTCCTCCATTCCCCAATCATAGGAAAGAAACAATATTATGCTATCTGTCAGTCCTATCAAAAGTTGTTAATGCAGCCTGAATTTTGAGTAGCAAATATTTGTGTTGAAATTTTCAGTCTGTAGGCCGTTATTCATAAAATGCTAGTATGAATTGTTTTGTATAACACATTTTGAGGAAGCCATAAGGCTTCATAAAATAACAAAGAGAAACAGAATAACTGATGCATTACAAATAATGCTGTCATTTTGAGTACAGAATTACTATGTAACCTTAAAACAAGTTGAGCCTCACAGGCACATTGGTACAGAGATTTTTTTGGAGAAGTAATGGTAGAATGCTATAACAGTTTTAAGTTAATGAAACCCTCTTGTTAATTGCAGTAGTGCTAAGATTTCTTCCCAAATATGTGTGTTATGCCAAAAGAGGTTTTGAGACCCAAAAAGGTTACTTGTATGAGAACAGTAAATAGGATTAACCCCAATCTGAGTATCTTCTTTTCTACATTTTTTTTTAATTATGAGAAACGTTTGGATGTGTTTTTTCCTTTTTACCGTACGAAATATATAGGAAGAAGCAGAGGAGGATCGCTGATGAGCACTTTTGAAAATGCCACTTTCCCCAAGGTAGAAATCCTGCTGATGTGTGATTTTTACAGGAAAAAAGCCAACATTTGATGCCATCTGCAGTCCTGGATCAAACCCAAACTGTAACTCAAACTGAAATGGAGTGTTTTGTTCTAGTACTGGGTCAAATACAAAACTGTCTTTAGCAGCCTGCTCTCATGAGAGATTCTCTTAAAATGAAGTAGTTGGGAGGCTGAATTACTGCTCAGCGTCAGAGAAAGTGTTCCAAGGTCAAAGTTAGGAACATAAGTGGAAAATGCAGTAATGAACTCTTTTGGTTTGAAGTTGTTGGAGATGACAGCTGTTATTTAGTTGGGACTTAATTTAGATGAAAAGTATACCCTGAAGATTGTGCCTAACTTGGTACGTAGGCAGGCAGGCAAGGGGCTCATAGTTTTAACGAGGACCCTTTTGCAGATTGAAATCAAATTGATAGTGCTGGAGTCCACCTCCAGCTGAGCAGGTCAAATAAGCCCTACCTAATCCAACCTGATGCTCATTCTTCATGATCTACAAGATTACTATAAACTAACCTGTTAGTCACTGAAAAATCAGCTAATGTTATTTCTGACCGGACCAATCTCACTTCCTGTAGAATACAGGCTGTGTAGAGCAAAAAGAAAATGGTCATGTAGTACACTATGGAAAAGTTAGGACTTGTCTCCGGAGCTCACAGGAACAATTTGCATGTATTTTTCCAGTAAGCTACTGTTTTTCATACTGAGTTTGCTTGCCTGTTTGCACAGTGGCTACTAGTTTTCTGAGGCATTGCTGTTGTAAGGATTCAGTGTAGAATTCAACTGTCTAAATCTTTACCTCATGTTTACATTATTTGCTCCATAGCAGCTAGTATCAATGTTGTTTGGACTTGCCAGCACAGGGCAAAGAAAATAGAGTGTACAAATAAGATTTAACTAGGCTTACTAATTGCGATAAGTGCCTAAAATGGCTTTCAGAAAACTGTTAAAAGAAGTCTATGGGATAAAAGATGTTAGAGATATATTTACATCCAAAGAATGTTATAAAGCAGTTCAGTGAGAGAACAGACGTTTGAAAACAACTATTCTCAGTAGGCAAGGATTACCACGTATTTTTGTTTGTATATTTCTGTCTCATTGATGGCTGTTGATATAAAACACTCTCTCAGTAAGTTCAAAGACAACTGCCTACCTACTAATTTTGTGATATGAAATCCCATAGACCACCCATAGACCTTCCTTTGTAGTAGTCTTCTGTATCAAACTATATTTATTGGAATTTGTGCAGACCTTGATCCTTTGGGGACTTAAAAGAAGCTGTTGTGTACATCAGCATAAGCTTAACAGAGATTTGAGTGCCACTCTCCTAATACATCAAGTGGATCATTTTTATGCTCTAATAACAAATTACTCTACAGCATTCACTTTTAATTGTAAGAAAGTAATTTGAAGTAACTGAAATCCTAATAACAGCTTACTTTTAGTATTTCACCCTAAAACCATAAATATACTGTCCGAATAAAAAATGTTGTCATTAATAGCAACTGCTCGTGGATTTCTGTCATACTACCTGAAAACTGCAACTTGTGCCGCCCAAGCAGATCTGCTGGGATCCCTGTAGCGACCTCAAGCTCTCAAATGCCTACAAATCACGTACGACAGTGGCAGTTCAGCAGTGTACAGGACGATGGAATATCAAGCATTTTGTGACCACTGGACAAGGTGTGGAGCTTAGCATGGCACTTTCTATTTGAAATGCTGATTTGCATTTCTTTTAGACTCCTCAAAGCAGTATGGAAGCATGTAAGAAAAAAAAACGAGGGGCTTTGTTTTCATTTTGTTCATTATGAATATAGAAATGGTGTTTCTGAAAGATGGCTGAGTATCCTCAGAAATATTCTATGTATCTGCAGCTCCAATCTTAGGCAGCAGCAGTGTGGCACTCAGGATGCTGTCTCAGCCTGGAGAAGTCACTTTTAGTGGTGAAACTAGCTCAGGGCATCAAAGTCCTTTCTGGATTGAGACATTGAGACAGCTGAGAAGGTGGTTAACTCTCACGGTAGACTGGAATATTAGGTTAACACTTGATTAGCCGACATTAGACTTCCAATCCATTTCATAGAGATTACTCACAGTTTTGGAACCAGTTCAAAAGAATTTAATATACAAGGATGACTTTTCTGTAGATGCTTTGATCTATGTGATAGCGTTTTTTAGTGATTCACCTAAGCATTCTGAAACTTGGGGAAAATATAGTTAGGTCACCTAATGGCTGTAGTTTTGCTTTTAGTGAAACTGTAATATGAAAAAGAAAAAAAAAAGGCATCTCTGAAAGACAATTTAATGTGATGTGGAAT